TTGCACACGCACGCTAAGGGTGACAGTCGGGGGCTTCAGTGAGGAACAGCACTTTACTGTGTATCCCCTGACTCGCTACGACGCTATTCTTGGCAAGCCGTGGCTTACAAGGAACAACCCCAGCATCAACTTCCGTACGAACGAAGTTCAGTTGGACGGTGAGCCCTTTGTTGCCAAATTGCCTTCAGCTAACCCGCCGACAGCCGACCGGCCATCTGTGGAAAGCATGTTTATCAGTGGCCGACAAGCTCGTCATGCCCTGAGGAGTGGAGCCGAGGGGTTTCTTGCATGGGTCACTGCTGCAAACGAGGAGAATCGTTCCGGGCCACAACTCCAGGAATCAGAGCAACAAGACATCCAGAACCTGCTCAAGAGGTACCAGGATTTATTTCCAGACGAGCTGCCGAATGAGCTTCCACCGAAGAGACCAGTCGACCATGAAATCCAGATAGAAGATGGAGCCAGACCACCGTCTCGACCCGCCTACCGCCTGCCGAAACCAGAGATGGACGAGCTCCAGTCACAGCTATCAGAATTACTTGAGAAGGGATTCATTGAGCCAAGTAAGTCGCCATACGGTGCACCTGTGTTTTTTGTGAAAAAGTCGGATGGTACTCTGAGAATGGTGTGCGATTGGCGAGAATTGAATAGAATTACGATCAAAAACAAAGCTTGTCTTCCTAATATTGATGACTTATTCGACACGATCCAGGGCAGTGCATATTTCTCCAAGTTGGACTTGCGGTCAGGCTACAATCAAATCAGAATTCAAGACTCGGATGTTTCTAAGACGGCCATTAATACGCCGTTCGGCCACTTCCAATTTAGAGTCATGGGATTCGGGCTGACTAATGCCCCGGCCACCTTTCAGTCACTCATGAACTCTATTCTGCAACCGCATCTCCGAAAATTCGTTGTAGTATTCTTGGATGACATTCTAGTTTTCAGCAAGACCTGGGAAGATCATCAGCATCATCTTCAAACAGTTCTAGAAACACTTAGAAATAGTGAGCTGTATTGCAAACAGTCTAAATGCGAATTCGGCGTGAGAGAAGTTCTCTTCTTGGGGCATAAAATCAACGGCACATCAATTTCCCCTGATCCCAAGAAGATAAGTGCTGTGGAAACATGGCCAACTCCGTCGTCAGTAACTGATGTGAGGAAGTTTCTTGGCTTTGCAAACTATTTCCGAAGGTTCATAGACCGACACTCGACCATCTCTCGTCCATTAGAAGAAATCACCGAAAAAAATCACGGACCTTGATGGTCATGCCCGCTATGTGGTGGAGAACATTCTCAGTCACCGCCGCCGGCAGAATCAGCTTCAGTACCTAGTCAAGTGGCAAGGCTACTCTGATGCCACTTGGGAGCCTGAACATTATTTGTTGGATGAATCTGGTAATGACATTGTTCCACTTCAGAAGTACAAAACCTTGGCTTCTGCCCGCTGAGTTTTGCAGTTGAACTTCTAGTTTCACCTTACACATTTGTTGAGCTTATTACACTTTATTTGCATGGAGTTTCAGTCGTCTTATTGTGTTACTTCAGTGCAAGCCTTTTTTCGTCTCGCACGTGTTTGCGCTTATTGTACTCTATTCCACTTGAGCATTTGGGTTATAAGCTCCTTCCTCTCCATAGGAGGGGGATGATGTAACAGTTTTCCCCTGTTCTCTATAACTTTACACTCCCTCGCACCTCATGCGTCTTACGCCTGTCTATTAGCACCTTCATTGGCGCCATTGCCACATGTATACTATCACATTTTGCATATAACTGGTCGAGGCACGCTCAACCAGGCCTCTTACTTTTCAAGTTTGATTAAACCTGTTACACTATGCAGGACTTGCTGGACCACGTGTCTGATTTCTGTCGCCGTAGCTGCATTACACCTAAAACCCGTCAAAGTCAGTACAAGTTGTTATTTCAACGTCTTACCGAGTTCCACACTTGTCTTTGCAGCAGTTCCTCAACCACGTTGCTATACCATCAGCTTCCTCAACCCGCTTCCTGGGGATCGTTGTGAATGCCAACATGAACTTTTCTTAGCAATGTTTAGCTGCCCGCCAACGCATCCAACAGCGTCTGCGAGTCATCCAGGCCACGACTGGTCGGGAGTGGGGCTTGGACCAACAATCAACGATGCGCCTCATCAACCAGTGTGTTTTATCATCCGGGTTATATGGCGCGGCTGCATACTATGGCCTCACAACCAACAGTAGAACACGACTGCTGGAGACTGCTTACAGCCAGTGCCTTTGCGTCGCCACAGGATGTGTGCCTTCTACACCACTGACCAAGCTCTACGAGGTTGCAAGTGCTCCGTCTCTGCATACAAAGATCACACGCCAGGCTGGGAGTTTGCCTAATATTGCTCATCGTCACAACACCCCAACCCCTGCTCGCACCGTTCTCTCCACTCAGGTTCCTGAACGTATACGCCATGACAAGACCACTTGGCAACAGTTAGCCCAGGAAACTTTGCCTACTCAGCAATTTCTCCCGCTGCCTTCGCGACCACCGCCATGGGCAAAGGTGGAGAATTTGACGATCCACATCACTGACTGCAGCAGAGATGATCCCCCGCATGTCCGGTTGTCTGCAGCCCTGGAGTGCCTGGACAAGGTTTCCTCTCTTTGTGCTCAATCTCAGTCATTTGAAGTTGTTGTTGTTGTTGTTGTTGTTGTTGTTGTGTTATTTTAATTCGCAAACCAAACGGGCAGATCTGCCCAATGAAAAGGTGGCGAATGCAGATAGAAAGCAGTAATAAATGAAATTGGGGACTGATGTAATTAGGATAGAGGTGGAGAAAAACTAAGCCAGCTGATCATCAAACAGGACGTTTGGTACTCTAAGTCTGGATAGATGATAGTGTCACCGATGAGGGTACAGGAGGAAGTGGCTATCTTGTCATCAAAGACACTGATGGCCAACGCTCTGAAGTGTGCAGTGGAAGCGATCCTGCAGGTGTGGTAGCAACTTCCTTCACCGCCGAGGTAACTGCAGCAGTAGCCGGTCTCTCTGCGGCAGGAGATCTACTTGCGGCTGGCCTCACCCACACAGATGATCAACCCTCGCTGCCAGACCTCATCCTCGTTACGGACAGTCGTTCGTTGACTGATTCTGTTGCCGGCGATCCGTACCGTATGAGCCCATATACGATTCCTGTGTTTGAGGCCATCAAGAGCATTAAGTTAGCCAGCTTGTTAGCAGCATCCGCCTTGTTTGGGTTAGTAGTCACTGTGTCTTATTCCTCAACGAAAAAGTAGATCGCCTGGCTGCGGCTGGTACCCAGGTCCCCCAGGGTCACGTCCGTCTTCCAGTGCAAGCCACCAAGACTGCAGTCCGCAAGGCAACACGGTACCCGCCACCACTGCTCGACACCAAGAAGCCCGGCGACCTTCGGACACGAAGAGCATCCTGCAAGCCGAACCAGCTGATGACCGGCCACTGTAGTCTTCTGAATGGCTACCTCCACCGCATTGGAGCTGCAGACTCGCCCCACTGTGTCTTCTGCCCTGCCGTCGTCGAGGGTGCAACGCACTTCCTTTTCGACTGCCCAGGAAGAGCACAAAGCCGTCACTCTGCAGCTCTTCAGTCGTCTTCATCCGTCAGTCAAGGCAAGCTGCAGCCGACTCTCCTTACAATATTCCACGATTCTTGCAGTTGGAGAAACTGTTATGAAGTTTCGAACACAGACTTCAGTGAAACACAATACATGATGAATTGCTACTGTTATGTGAACTCTCATTACACCCGTGTGCGGTATTACCATCCACATCTAGCATGACGTCATTATATTTATCTCAATTCAGTTTTTTCCGAAGAAAAAAAAAGAAAAAATTGGAAAGAAGCAATAACACGTTTTGGCCAGGAATGACAGGATGACTGCTTTTGACAGGATGACTGCTATTCGTTCACCTGTCGAATGTCGACTGGTGCGCGGTGGCAAATTTGCTGTAATGCGCACGACTTTTTTTATGATTATTATTTCCGGTCGGCGGGAATGAGTACAATCATGTACAGCGTACATGTAGCTCACGATCAACACAGCCGAAAATACCTCGATCGACCTTCTAGTTCTACCTCACGGTTTTGTCGCGTGTCTGGAGGTGATGATGTAGCCAGTCCTAGAGCTAGTGCAGACAGTGTAAAGGCACTTTACTAATATTATAGCCATTGCCAATTGTCCCGCCACGCACCAGAAGAGTGGACTTTGCCTCATCGTCCTCAAGTGTACATGCACTAGTACTGACTGTAGTTGTCATTTCAATTTTGGGACCATGTTGGTGAAGCACGAGGAACCTTGCTGTCCAGGCCAGAAGGCAGTTCTACTTGTCAGTAGTCCAGAGCAAGCTCGAGCACGCCAGCACTGCCTACGTCCACTGCCTCGCTGACAATGTGAGAGATCAGCTGCTACGCATAAGTAAGAGAGCACTTAGATGCATATTTGAGCATGACACATTCACGCGGACATCATACTTGCTTGAGCGATACCACATAATTAGCTTAGACAAAAGATATCATACTAAGTCCATATTCTTCGTGTTCCGTTGCATCCACAATATCTGCAGTTCACTCC